TCACGGAAGTCTCAGCTGGATATTCTGCTATGATAACAACTGCTTAATACATCTCTCGAGTAAGGAAGGTTCAGGATGGTTCTCTCAGAAACCTCGGCGCTGCAGACAAATAGCAACAGCAGAGCGAGGGTGCATGCCCAGCACCCCCACGAGTAGCAACTTGGACTGCTCTGGTATCGTGGAACAGAGCATTCAGGCGTTGGAAGAAGGGCTTAATAACGATACTCTTCAACGTTCTTCATCGCTTACGCTAAGCACTATAACCAGGGATATGAACAAGGGATGGTACTCTCTTGGCTACTAGTACGAACATCTAAGCAATACAGAGAACGCCTCTCAGACAACAGAAGGATCAAGCTAGAGCAAACAATCTAGCAGCTTGCAAAAGCTTCCCGCGCACAACATGCCTGACAATCCTAAGGGAAGGTTCCCTTTCGGTATTGGGTGGAACAAGGAAACAATATGGGTCGAATATCTCGTTTACGGAATAGGGCTGGAGGAGCTCTTCACCTGCATCCCCTTGCAGAATATCGAGGCACGAGAAGACGAGAATCCTCGAATCAGCCCACTTCACAACCTACATCACGAACTGGCTTGGATCTCCTGCATCTATTATAGCTGCAGAACGCATTTTTCAGAAAAGGTGCAACACGAATGGTTTCCCGTTAGAGAACCAGAACAAATCCTTCAGGCTGTTGAAGAACAGGAACTCCGCTTCAGAGAGGTTCTCAACAGACAACATCACAATGCATACATCGGGCTACCGGATGATTGCTCCATGCAATGCATAGATAAAAAGATAGAGTAGTAGCAGTATGAAACGATACTCTGCACAATTCATATCAATAATAAGATTTGCAACTAGCATTAACAGAAGAAAGACCAGGAATAACAATGATATGGGCAAAAGCAAGCTAAGAAGCTTGCTCAAGAAGCAGCGAAGCAGGCTCAGAAGAACAGACAGTCCTCGATGAACCCAAAAGAACAGAATCGCCTGTAAAGGGACTGCAGACGATCAGACCGGAACGGTCCCTATGTGAAGCTTCTAGAACAGATTACGCTCACATCAAGTTCGACATATACATTCAAGAACACAAATACAGCGTACTATTGAACAGTAGCGCTCAGAGAAACTTCATATTCCTACGCATCATCAATCAGGCACAACTACAATGGAGATGGAAGAGATGCTCATACATCCTCAGCACTGTAAAAGAACAATCTGTTGCATACAACTAAGGAGTAATTGATAAGAAGACTGATTATCTACCTATCTTGATCCAAGAATGCATAATCAGGGCTTCCTTCGATATTACGGATACAGCATAGCATGAGCTGATTATGGAGCTTCTATAGCTCAAGAAGCACAATCCTCGAATCGATTGAACTACTAGCTAGCTCTTATGAGAACAAGCTGTATCCAGAGAGATAGTTACAATCAACAGCGCAGGATCGAAGCTAGTGATTGAAGAATACTCAGGAAAAGAAGCTTCACACGACTTCACACATACTTCCAAGTCAGCAGAGCTGGCAGTTCAAGGAGAAGGATCTAGTAATAGGCGAACCCAAACAGTGCCAGAGCGCCAACAGGTTAGCAAAACAACGGAAGCGAGACCCTCAGCAAGTCGGTCCGCCCCGGAGCGACAAGGAAAAGCTTCAGAATGTGGATTGTGGATCCACACAGGAAAAACCTCGAAACCAGGCTCTCGAGCACTCGCTCCAGCCCGGAGCGAACGCTCAAGGCCCTCGAAAACGCTATCAGAAAAGAAGCACGCTCAACGGTACCTACTGTTCCTCCAGGTAGCAGAAACAGCACAAGGACCAGAACCAACACTTGCGAACATATTACGAGAATACTACAAGTTCAAGAAACTATTCCAGGAAGAATTGGATACAGGATTGCCAGAATACAGCTTATACAACTACGAGATCCCGCTACAAGAAGGGAAACAGCTCAAATTCTTCCCCATCTACGGACTAGATAAGGCACGGCTAGAGGCATTTAGGGAGTACCTCGACGAGAACCTTAAGAAAGGATATATACAACTATTGCAATCATTAGCAGGATATCTCATTCTGTTTATATCCAAGAAAAACAGCAAGCTCAGGCTATGCATTGATTACAGGCAATTCAACGATATTATGATTAAGAACTGATATTCATTGCTACTTATCAAGGAATTACAAGATAGGCTGCAAGGAGTATAGTGGTTTACAGTTCTAGATCTAAAAGGAGCTTACAATCTGATCAGAGTAAAGAAAGGAGAAGAATGGAAAACTGCTTTCAGAATATGCTACGAATACTACGAATATTTGGTTATGCTCTTTGGTTTAACGAACGCTTCAGCATTATTCCAGGAAATAATCAATTATATCCTATATAAGCACCTGGATCAGTTCATTATTGCCTATCTCAATAACATTCTTATTTACTCTTGGATATTGGAAGAATACAAGAAATACGTGGAAACAGTATTGCAAACGCTCCAGGATGCGAAGCTTCTTGTAGAACCTGCAAAGAGCCACTTTCACATACAAAAAGTCGACTACCTCGAATTCACAATCAAGCCAGAATGCATTAAGCTACAGAAAGACAAAGTAGAAGCTGTCAGGAACTAGCCAATTCCCAGAAATATCAGGGATGTTAGATCTTTCCTCGAATATATCAACTTCTACAGGCAGTTCATTAAGAACTACAGCCGGATCGCATACCCTCTTACAAATCTCACCAAAAAAGAACAGCCTTTCGAATAAACCCCCAAGGCACAAGAAGCCTTTGATGAGATCATCAAGCACATCACCTCAGAACCAGTTCTGTATGAAGCAGACCCCTACAAACCCTTTGAAGTTGAGACTGATGTATCAGAATATGTATTCGAAGAACAACTTGGTCAGCAAGACAACTAAGAACGTCTAAGGATTGTAAGCAACTTCTCAAAGAAGTTAAATAGCCCGGAAATCAACTACAGGATCTCTGATCAGGAACTCATAGCAATAGTGAAAGCCTTCAAGGAGTAGCAATACTATCTTATTAGCGCGCAATATCCGATCATAGTTCGCTCGGATTATAAGAATCTGACTACATTCATAACAACCAAAGTCTTGAACAAGCAACAAGTCAGATAGGCAGAATTCCTCTTACAATTCAACTTCAAGATTGTGCACTGCAAAGGCTCAGAGAATGGACGAGCAGACGCTCTCAGCAGAAGATTAGACCATCAAGATGCAGATTCCTCGGATATACAGAACATCTTCGCTCAAGACGAGTCAGGAAATCTCATTAACGCACATAGAGAACTGAACGCTGCTCTCAGAATTGAACCCTCGGGAAGAGATCCAGAATCGATGACTCCAGATGAATAAGACAACTACATCAAGGATATATACAGTGCACCAGCACACGGGCACCAGGGAGTCAGAGCAACCTACGAACGCCTCAAAAGACACTGGAACCCACCAGGCCTTAGGAAAAGGATTAAGAGCATTCTACAACAATGCAATAGCTGCAAGAAGAATAAAGCAGAAAGATACAAGCCTTACAGACTACTGCATTCCTTACCAATATCTACGATTGTTTAGCAATCCATCAGTCTAGACTTCATTACCAAGCTATCTCTCTTACGAGAATTCTTAACTAAAGTGCAATACAACAGCATTCTAGTAATAGTTTGCAGACTAAGCAAGTATGCTTATTTTCTCTCTTACAAGGAAAGCAGTACAGCAGAGGAACTTGCATATGCATTTCTCAGAACGATCATCGCTAACTACAGCACGCTAGAGGAAGTGATCTCCAATAGAGACAGAAAGTTCAACTCGAAGTTTTGAACTTCGCTCATGAAACAACTCGGAACACACCACAGAATATCTACAGCATTTCACCCACAAACAGATAAACAGACAGAAAGAATGAATCAGATTATCGAACAGTATCTTCAACACTACATCAACCAGAAACAGAACAACTGGGTTAATCTATTGCCTCTCGCACAGTTCGCTTATAATAGCGCGAACATGAGTACAACGAAGAAATCACCATTCTTCACGCTCTACAGATACAACCCAACAGCTTACCACGAGGCACTGCAAGAAGCAGATGCAGAAGCTGCAGATAAAAGAGTTAAGAAGATCAAGAAAGTTTAGAAAGAATTCCGATCAGAATTACAATTCATTCAAGAACGAATAACGCGGTATGCAAACTCCAAAAGGATTGAAAGACCAATTCTACAGAAGGGAGATAAGATCTACCTACTTCGAAAAAACATCAAAACAACCAGATCCAGCAACAAACTCGATTACAAAAAGTTGGAACCATTCAAAATCTTATAACAAATCTCCCCGGTTAATTACGAATTAGCATTACCTTATGGGATGAGGATACACCCGGTCTTCCATATTTCACTGCTGGAACCAGCAGCACAGAAAACACCAACAGATAATACAGCAGAAGTGGAAAACAATGAACCAGAGTATGAGGTAGAAAAGATTCTCAAGCACAGAAGCACAGACAGCACGAGGGAATACCTCATCAAATGAAAAGGCTACCTAGCAAGCGAAAACTCATGAGAACCACGGAAGAACGTTGAAAATGCTCAGGAAAAGATAGCTGAATATTGGAAAAGGAAGACCAGCACCTAAGACAACCGCTCCAGCCCGGAGAGAGGCCCAGAGCCCACCGTCTCACCCAAAAATCCAGAATAATCCACAACAGCCCCACTAGGATTAACAGAGTTCCAGTCAAAATCATCAAACAAGGGATCCTCAGCCAAAATACTCTCAGCTGATACTGCCTCACGAACCGATGCAGCAAGGTTGCATTCCTCCTCCTCACGACGTTCCCGCTCATCCAGCTCGTCAAGAGACTCGAGACCCGCATTCACCATTTGAGCGCCCCGAGAGGCAAGAGATCTACGCTGGATGCGCAGGCGAGCAAGACGGGCAGCGGACTCCGAGATCTTCGCGCGCGCCTCGTCAAGAACTTCCAACGCTCGACGATGAGCCCCTTCTAACTCTGCCTCCGCCTCCCGCTCCTTCGATTCCAGCCTCTTATCTTCTGCTATAATGCGCGAAACTAAGGAAAAAAGAAGAGCATCAGCGAAGGGATTAGAAAAGGAGAAAAAGGGGACTTACGAGCAGAAACAGAAACCCCACAGCCATCACAAGAACAAGCACAACGGATACACTGAGAACAACGCTTTGCATCATCCATCATCTTGCATACCAGGCCCCAGGAAGTGCAAGCAGTACAAGGCATAATCTCAAAACCAAACTGATCAACAGCTAGAAAAAAACGGTTACGCTGTTCAGTTTTCTTGGAAAAAGATTTCTCGATCCTGCTCAACATCTCAATTAGGAAGGCAAGATCAGGCATACGGAAAACTTGCCAGAATACTTACGAAAGATCGTTGGGAACAACGACTGATAGAAGGGAGATGATATTATAACCCATCCAACATGCAGATCACGAAACAGATCACGAGCAACAAGGACCAGATGTCAAGAACCCAACATTCTGACAAAGCATTGATTACATAACCTAGGAAGGAGACAGGGATGGATTACTAGAAGCACCAGAAGCACAGCTCACTAGGCTCACCCGAATCACCGCAGTGATCCGCGGGACGCTGCCAGACAGTGATCCATACTAAAGAGCTGGATATATAAGAACACAGTCATTACCATTAGAAGGATTCAGTACATAGCTCTTCAGTTATCAATCTAAGTATTCAGTTTCATACACTGAGTAGCCCCAAAGGCAGTGAACACTTGCATCGCTTATTAGGACTTGTACGGTTCCGTATTCAAGGACTTGATACTTTGACACCGCTCTTGTTAGCATAAACCCCTTCGTATACTTAGGAATCTTCGGATTGCTGCAGTGCTCATTACACTAGTAGTAATGAACGTATTCTTATATATTCAGCTCTTCAGTATAGCTCGTTGGGATCGTTAGCGAGCTTAGCGATTCTAGGTATGAAGCTCGTTGGGATTGTTAGCAAGCTTAGCGATCCTAGATATAAAGCTCATCGGAATCATTAGCGAGCTTAGCAATCCTCTCTCCTTTACAATCCTAATCCTGAATTATATAATCAATATTTTATTAGAACGTTGAATTCTTAATACTTAGTTCTTATTACTTGTAATCTATTTTATAATCTGCATACTGAATAGATTATAATATCATCTTCCTTCTATTAGTTGTTATTTTCAACAATCTTTCATAAGTATTCTAGCAAGTCTCTGTATTCATGATCTTGTCTTCCTAATCGAGATATTGAATAGAATTAACAAAATTGCGAAACCGAAATCTTCGAATCCTCGTTCTGATAAAAAAAAACAGAAAAGCTTTCTTCTTCAGTTTATTCTCTCAAACAGTTTCAATATACATTCCTGTTCTTATTGCAACAGTTAGAGTTTGCAATTGTATATTGTTTCTCCTCATAATTCATTCTGTTACTCGGAATGCGTTTCTTAGAATTGCGCTAAGTGTAATATTCTGAAATCAACGAATGCTGCTAAACTTCTTCTTACTTCTATTCAATATTGAAAGCTGAAGAATAAGATAGAAGAGTTGGAGTTAAAATTGCTTTAACTGCATTAACAAAAGAAGATGTAGCGCGAAAGAATATCTCGGGCTATTTGTTGAAGCTTTACGAATCTTGAAAAGCTTGAGAAAGAGGAGGCTGAGGAAGCTAAAGCTGAGAGGGCGCGTATTGCTGCTGAAGTGCAGGCTGTAGTAACTGAGGAATCTGCTATTACAGCTGAAGATTCCTCTTTTGAGAGTTTTGATTGGAATTCTGTGAACTTGGGGAATTCTGTGATTGACTGGTTGAGCTTTCTGAAGAATGAAGCTTCCGAGGCTTCTGAGTTTCGGTTTAGGGCAAAGCAACCATCCTAGGTACTAGTTTCTTTCCTTTTTCAATACTCAGCTATTCTTTTCTAAGCATTTTCAACATTCTTCTGTAATTCTTATGAGTTTTCGCTTGCTGAGTATTCTTTCCACTTAATAAGATATTCCCTTGTAATATTTATGCTTCTATACTTAAGAATTTTCTCTATTTTATATTCTGACTTATTATTTTCCACTTTTGCTATATTATTTATTAATGCTTTCTATACTGCTAGTTCCAGCAATAAGATATGAAAAACCGGATATATTCTTATTCTATAAGATAATGCTAATTCGTAATTAACTAAGAAGATCTGTTATAAGATTTTGAATAATTCCAACTTCTTATAATCGAGTTTGTTGCTAAATCTGATTATTTTAATATTTTTCTAAAGTAAATAGATTTTATCTCTTTTCTATAGGATTGATCTCTTAATTCTTTTGGAGTTTGCATATTGTACTATTCATTTCTAAATGAATTGTAATTCTAATTAAAGTTTTTTCTGAACTTTCTTAATCTTCTTAATTCTTTTGTTTGCAGCTTCTGTATCTGCTTCTAATAGTACTTTGTAATAAGCTATTAGATTATATTTATAGAATATAAAGAATAGCAATTTCTTTGTTATACTTATATTTGCGCTATTATAAGCAAATTATATAAGAAGTAATAGATTAATTCAGTTATTCTGTTTCTAGTTAATATAGTATTGAAAGTATTATTTAATAATCTGATTTATTTTTTTTATTTATTTATCTGTTTGTGAGTAAAATGCTGTAAATATTTTGTAATATATTCTAAGTTGTTTTATAAGCAAAGTTTAAAACTTTGAATTAAACTTTCTATTTCTATTAGAGATTACTTCTTCTAATATGCTATAGTTTGCAATAATTATTCTAAGGAATATATATATAAGTTTCTCTGCTATACTACTCTTCTTATAAGAAAGAAAGTAAATATACTTGCTTAATCTGCAAACTATTACTAGAATGCTATTATATTATATCTTAATTAAGAGTTTTTGTAAGAAAGATAGCTTAATAATAAAATCTAGATTAATAAATTGCTAAATAATTATAAGTACTAATAAGGGATATAGTAGTTTATAAAGCTTATATTTTTTTGTTTTATTCTTTTTGCAGCTATTGCATTATTATAAAATGTTTTCAATTCTTTTTCTAAAGCTTAGCAGATTCTAATATCTTTTAATATATTTATAAATTGCTCTAATTCTCTGATATTCATATGCTAATGTACTATATATATTCTTGATATAATTATTTTATTCATTTGGAGTTATTAATTCTGGATTCTTTTCTGAAGATTTAATTCTGAAAGTAGCATTCAGCTCTTTATATGCATTAATAAGATTTTCTAACTTTTTTAAGCAAAGATGTTTTATATATTCAAGGAATCTGTGCTTTAATAATCTGATTTTCTGCTAAGAGCATCTGCTTGTTTATTCTCTGAGCTTTTGCAATATATAATCTTGAAGTTAAACTGTAAGAGGAATTCTGCTTATCTAACTTGTTGCTTGTTCAAAACTTTAGTTATTATGAATGTAATTAGATTCTTGTAATCTGAGTGAACTGTAATCGAATGCTGTATGCTAATGAGGTAGTATTGCTATTTCTTGAAAGCTTTTACTATTGCTATAAGCTTCTGATTAGGGATTTCGTAATTGATTTCTAAGCTGTTTAACTTCTTTAAGAAGTTGCTTATAATTCTTAGATGCTTTTGATTATCTTGCTAACTAAGTTATTCTCTGAGTATATAATCTGATATATCAGTTTCAATTTCAAAAGGTTTATAAGAATCTGCTTTATATAGAATTGGTTCTAAGGTAATGTGCTTAATGATTTCGTTAAAAGCTTCTTATACTTTGAAGGTTTATTCGAAGAATTGATTCTTTTTGATAAGGTTTATAAGAGAATGTGCGATTTGGCTATAGTTCTTAATGAATTGCTTGTAGAAATTGATGTATTCAAGAAAAGACTTAATATTCCTAATATTCCTGAGGATTAGCTAGTTTCTGATAGCTTTTACTTTATCTTTCTGTGATTTGATGCATTCTGGCTTGATTGTGAATCCGAGATAGTTAACTTTCTGTATATGAAAGTAACTCTTTGCAGGTTCTATAAGGAGTTTTGCATTCTAAAGCATTTGTAATACTGTTTTCATATATTTTCTATACTCTTCTAGTATTTAAGAGTAAATAAGAATATTATTAAGATATGTAATAATAAACTGATTCAAGTATTTGTACAGAATGTAATTAATTATTTCTTGGAATAAAGCTGGAGCATTTGTTAAACCGAAGAGTATGATCAAGTATTCGTAGTATTTGTAGCATATTCTGAAAGCAGTTTTCCATTCCTCTTCTTTCTTTATTCTGATCAGATTGTAAGCTTCTTTTAGGTTTAGAGCTATAAACTACTATGCTTCTTGCAATCTATCTCGTAATTCCTTAATAAGCAGTAACAGATATTAGTTCTTAATTATAATATCATTAAATTGCTTATAATTAATATATAGCTTGAGTTTGCTATTTTTCTTAAGTATAAACAGAATAGGGTATTCTGCTGGTAATTGCAATGATCATATATATTCCTTTTTGAGATTCTCATCGAGATACTCCTTAAATGCCTTCAGCTATAGCTTATCTAATCCGTAGATGAGGAAGAACTTGGGCTGTTTTCCTTCTTATAGTAGGATCTTGTAATTGTATAAGCTGTATTCTGATAATCCTATATCCAATTCTCTCTGGAATAGCTTCTTGAACTTGTAATATTCTTGTAGTATGTTTGCGAGTATTAGTTCTAATTCTTATGCTGTTTCTGCTATCTGAAGGAACAGTAAGTACTGTTGAGCGTGCTTCTTTTCGTTCATTGTTTTTGGTGATGTTTTTGAGAGCTTTGAGTGTTCGCTCCGAGCTGGATCGAGCGCTCGAGGGCCTGGTTTCGAGGTTTTTCCTGTGTGGATCTATAATTCACTTTCTGAAGCTTTTCTTTGTCGCTCCGGGGCGAACCGTCGTGCTGAGAGTCTCGCTTCCGTTGTTTTGCTAACCTGCTAGCGCTCTAGCACTATTTGGATTCGCTTATCACTTGGTTCTTCTCTTTGAACTGCCAGCTCTGCTGATTTGAAGGTATATATGAAGTTGTATAAAGCTTCTTTTCCCGAGTATTCTTCAATCACTGGCTTCCATCCTGCATCGTTGATTATAACTATCTCTCTGGATACAGCTTGTTCTCAGGAGATCTAGCTAGTAGTTTAATTGATTCGAGGATTGTGCTCCTTGAGCTATGAAAGTTCTATAATTAGCTCATGCTGTGCTGTATTCATGATATCAAAGGAAGCTCTGGTTATGCATTCTTGGATTGAGATAGATAGATAATTAGTTTTCTTATTAATTATTCCTTGGTTATATGTAATAGATTATTCTTTT